AAAAAAAAAAAAAAACTAGCCAGGCATTGTGGCCGATGCCTATAGTCCCAGCTACTGCTTGGGAGGCTGAGGCAAGAGGATTTCTTCAGCCCAAGAGTTTGAGGTTGCTATGAGCTATGATGACATGACATTCAACTAGGGACAAGAAAGTGAGACTCTCAAAAAAAAAAAAAAAAAGCCTAGTTTTTCAGTTGAAATTACATGTGTACATCAAGAGACTAGGATCTCAATAATGCCAAACAGCTCTTTTAATTGTGACTCAGTAACTGAACTTATAAAAGTGAGAAATATTATTTATTTCATTAACATTATGACACATGGATTTAAGTTCATGGCACTAATTCCTCAGAAATTAGATCTAAATAAAAGGAATAAAAATTTACTAATACTAGAATGCATTTTTATTATACCAACACAATTCTTAGCAAGAAAAATATTTTATATTAATTTTTAATCAATATAATTTAAAAATCTTAGAATACAACTCCATAAAATTTCTCAAAGGATAGGTTCACAGACACTTTTGTACTCTTACAAATTACTAAAGACAGCAAATATCTTTTGTTTCTGTGAGTTATACCTATCGAGACTTACCACGGTAGAACTTAAATTTTCAAATATATATTTACTTGAAAATAAATACAATAGAACTTTTACACAGTAACACATATTAACATTTGTTATAAAAAAACTATTTTCGGACACAGAAAAAAAATAATTGAGAAGAATGACACTGCTACAAATTTTGCAAATCTTTTTAATGTGTAGATAAAACCGGATGATCACCATATTTGCTTCCACATTCAACCTGTTGAAATGTGTTGTCCTGGTTGAGCTATTTGAAGAACCTCAGGCATATGTGTAGTTTGAAAATGGAGGACAACTTAAACCTCCTGAAAGAGGTCTATGCACCCCTAACCTTCCACAGTACTCTGAAAACTACTGATAAATGTGCTAAGCAACACTTTAGTTTGAGTCAGCTATCAGCTGGTCTTCTTTGAAAGTACTTGAATATTCCAAAGAAATGTCCTGAATTCTACTTAAATTCTTAGACGACTGGAAAAGTGCAAGAGGAGAAAGCAGAGGAGGAGGAGAGATGTCAGGGAATTTAATAATCGTATGATCTGGGTACCCTGTCACCGTTATCTGTAAAGATCAAAATTCTAATTTTAAAAAAATTGGAAGTCATTGCAGAATGATGGAAATACAAAGGACCTTTGAATTGCATGTTGAAAACAAAACAAAAAACCAAGACCAAAAGAGGCTAAAGGATTATCAAAAAAATTAATAATATATTTAGAAGAATTCTCAGAGCTTAAAGGTGATACCCGGCTTAAATCTAAGTAGGATTTTCATTTCATAAAATTACATGCAAATTCTCTAAGGAATATACTTACACACACTCTCTACATATGTATGTGGTATATATAAAAAATGTAAGTGTGCATGTATATATATTTACACACATACCTTCTGTGCATGTGTATGTGCACATGCACACACATATGCACACACAGAGGGTGCCAAAAAATGTATAAACCTTTTAAGAAAGGAAAAAACTGTATTAAAATTGTAATACTTACTATACAAGATATGACAATTAAGTTCGCAAACTCATCCTAGAAAAAGTGCTACATAAACTCATTGCTGAATATCACTACAGTCACCTTCCAAGTACTCCCCTTGAGAAGCTATGCATTGACACTAGTGCCTAGTCCACCCTTTAAAGCAATTTTGGAAATCTTTTTCTGGAATGGCCATCAGAGCTGTCATTGTACAAGGTCTGACAATTAAGTTTGCAAATTGCCACTGTGTGCTGAAGTTGGCAGCGCTGTACAACTCAGTGAGGTTTCATAACCAGGTACATCGGTATGTCACAAGTGTCTGTGTCAATGTGCGATGGTGTCTTGCTAAGTGGCATTCGCTTTTGTTGTTGTGTGTTTTTGTGTACCACACAACAATCAGTTCCAGTGGTCATTCCAGAAAAAGGGTTTCAAAAGTGCTTCAAAGGGTGGTCTAGGTGTTGCCATCAGAGCATAGCTTCCCAAGGGGAGTAGTTCAAAGGCGACCATTGTCATATTCAGCTATGAGGTATGTAGCACTTTTTCTAGGATGAGTTCGAGAACTTTATTGTTTGACCTTGAATGACTACCAATAACAAAAGATGAATACAGGTCACCTTTGACTTCTGCAATTACAAGAAGTACTAAAAGCAGTTACTCCTAGTGTTCATAATACATAAAACATCTCTTAATATGTGTAAACATTTTTTGGCACCCCCTAGTATACACAGAGAGAGATATCTAAAAAATACACGCATGTCCACACAAACTTGAAAAAGATTTCAGTTTCAAGAAACAATGGATGATATAGCCAAACTACACATTTTTTAGAGATTATCACTTGATACCTTCTCAATTTTTTTCTAGTCAAATTAAATATAACAAACAGATCTCAGACCATTGTACCTACTAAGGAAAATGACAGTACATCAAATACACAATTTAAAGTTTATAAAATAAACAATGCAATCAATTCTCAAATATTTAATCATGTTACCAACGTCTGAAGAAAATCATAAAAAGTTGTTTTAGTATCAACTATTCATTAAGTAATCTTTGTTAATTTTTTATCAAATAAGACTATTTCTATTACAAAAGGTATCCTAACCTTTTACTTACAATCTTTAAGGAAAATTTTTAAAGTTCTATTGCATAGGGACTACTGCACCCTCTCACAGAAGACAATGTATCTTATTTATAGACAAATATAATTCGTTCTTAACAAAAGAAAATATATATAATAAGCAATAAATATTCTTTAGAGAGTCCATGGCACAATTAAAGCTAATTTTTGGAGATCAAAATATACAATAGAAATAAAAGGCAAATTAAAAGATATAATTAATATGCTTACAATAACATGAATTTAAATTTAATTTTAGCAGCTCAAGGGCAACTTTTTCTTTTTTTTTTTTTTACTTTTAAATAGGTTTATTTTTATAACATATGTAGTTTTAAATTAATCTTTGAGGAATATTATCAGAGTCACTTTCTCTCCCTTCCTTGTTCCTCACTGCTTCCTTTTCTTTTTATTTTATTTTTTTTAATTTATTGTTGGGGATTCATTGAGGGCACAAGAAACCTGGTTTCACTGATCGCATTTGTTAGGTAAAGTCCCTCTTACAATCGTGTCTTGCCCCCAAAAGGTGTGGCACACACCGAGACCCCACCCCCTCCTTCCCTCTCTCTGCTATTTCCTTCCCCACCCCTCCCTCCTTCTTCCTCCCTCTGCTCTCCCCTTCCCCTACCCCCACCATGTCATTAATTGTCATCAATTGTCCTCACATCAAAATTCAGTACATAGGACTCATGCTTCTCTATTCTAAAAATCCAGGTAAAAAGAACCTAAAATGAGATTCAACAAGGTACAAACATGCCAGAAATCTAAAATGGCCACTCTTACAAGGTTATGATAAATAAAAGCTTCTAATAAATTGATAAAAGACTACTACTGTTATTTGGCTGGTAGATATAACAGCTACTACACTGTATTTCTTCCCTAGTTGTCCACTTTTGATTCATCTTTGAATTTATAAACATCTTCCAGCACCGTGGTCTCCAAGCCCCAGGCTGCAGACCAGTATGGGTCCATGGCCTGCTATGAACTGGCCACACAGCAGCAGATGAACAGCAGGCGAGTGAGCACAGCTTTGTCTGTATCCACAACAGCCCCCCATCACTGGCATCACCTCCTGAGCTCTACTTCCTATCAGATCAGCAGTGACATTAGATTCTCATAGGAGAGTGAACCCTACTGTAAACTGTGCAAGCAAGGGATCTAGGTTGTTTGCTCCTTATGAGACTCTAATGCCTGATATCTGAGATGAAGATGAGGGAGTGATGCTAGCACTGAGGAGTGACTGCAAATACAGATTATCATAGCACAGAGAGTGAGTGCATTATGGTGATTTATATAATTATTTCATTATATATTACAATGTTGTAATAATAGAAGTAAAGTATACCATGCAGGTGGATGAATCATCCTAAAGTCATCCCCCTCATAATCCATGGAAAAATTATCTTCCATGAAACCAGTCTCGGAAAAGGTTAGAGGTTGCTGTTCTAGCATGATACCACCATACAAAGAACCAATTACAGTTTCATTCATCATTTTTTCATTCAAGTATTAATTTATTTATCCACTAATTCAACTGCTATTTGTTTAGTGCCTACTATGTGCCAAGCACTATATTAGGTCTGTCTACCAGATACTGATAAAAATAATTGATATATAAGTCATTTTTAAAAACTCTTCTGGACTTAAGGTTGTCAAAGCAAGAAAATGATGAACAATCAATAACAATTCAGTTGTAGTTCACTGAAAATGCTGTATTTTAAAACTGTTCCTATAAATCTTTTGCATTGAGGTAGTCAACAGACTAATAAGTCTAGGCAGTAGATCTCACTCTGTGTCTACCATGAAGGAACTCTATTGGTAGGACGCATTAAAGATTGGCATTTACTATGATCTAGAGCCATTCATTTACAAATGAATGTAATCCATTGTGGCTTCATTAAATCTTCCTTTTCAGCTTTGTTTTTTTTTCAATTTTGAGAGGATAGATATTTTAGAAACGAATTACTAGATTCCTAGACTGAGGAAGTCTACAGAATATAGATGGATTGATTCAGAGTATAACATGGAGCAAAGTCTTACTATTTTGCACTGAGAAAATCAAATCTGCAATTGAATAAGGGTATCAAAATTTCCTTTATATTGCTCAGTATATAAAAGTTTAATCATTAAAAAAAAGCATCCTTCTTTATGTAGATATGAAAAATGTTTTTAAAACATTTTTTTCTATCAGGATTTTCAGTTTTTGAATGAGTTTTCAATTTTATAGGAATGCCATCAGTTTTATATATTTTTAATTGCTAGTACTGTAATTAAAAAGCATCTGTCAAAATATTCCTTAAAGCCTCCTAAGAAAAGTCAAAATATGTTAAGCATTCCCTGCAGAATCATGCCAGAGTGACCATGACATGGAGAATGACAACACAAAGAGGGAACATGACTACCTACCAAAAGTGAAGGCTTGATAACAAAGAAATGGAAATGAAGAAGACACGGCAGATTGCATTTAATAAGTAAGGTAAAGTATTTAATGAGTTTCAAAACTTCATATAAAAGTATCACTGCTAATGTATAGGCTACGGTAGTGTTCCCAATTCTCACCAGAATTTGAGTATCTGTAGCTTGTTCTTGGACCATCTGAATTGCTTTTGCCAGATCTTCTTCACCTTCTGGAATGCTAAAATTGTCGTCTGGTATCTAGGTCACAGATAGAGAGAAGGATAAAAAGAGTGAAGAGAAATATAAAGTCCCCTATTTCATTTTAGAAATAATTTTTGTTCACATAGCAAAGGATAAGAAAATACACTTTATGTAAGACAGTATGTCATTCTGAAGATCTATGAATAATGGATAACCAACAAGCAGGCAGCATTCTGACTTCCTTGTAAACATCACTCAATGTCACTTAAAATAAAGTCAAGATTAGCATGTGGTAACTGAGAAAATGACATGAAGGCTGTGTTGACCAGTTGATGGAAGTATTTCAGATTGCATGTGAAAACCCCACACTGTACCCTAGAAGTGCATTAATGTACATAGTTACCGTTCAATAAAAAAAAGAAAAAAAAAAAAAAAGATTAGCATGTGGGCAACTGCTTTTATCTATAATGGTAAATGTCATCTAACAATTCCATTGGAAAAAAAACCAGGCTCCCCTAAATGCTGCCCTCTCCCCATCCCAGGTATCCTCCACCATTACTTTTTCATAACTACTAGCAACTAACTACAAACTCTAGTTTATTGAAAAACCAAGCAAAACTCAGTGGTACAATCTTGAAATAATACAATGTTCTATAGTTATTTTAATGACAGTTAACACTTACTACATGCTTTTTATGTACTGATCACTGTTTTAAGCCCTTTACATTTATTAACTCTTTCAAGAACTTCATATTATACAAACTATCTCTGTTTTATCAGCAGCAATGAAAAACTCGTCTCCCATGTTTGTACTGTCTCTTGCTCTCCCAGGCTTACCAGTCTTGCCCCAAATTTTCATTCATGGCCCTGTCATCTAGGTATGACTTTATCCTCCATGTGTGGAAATAATGACAAGCCTCATGGAAAGAATGAAATAAAAGAAGCTCTGAGATAAGAACTACATAGATGAAGTACATTGAAGCTGGAAGGAAGCATAAGGCCTAAGTTCCAACTGAGTAGTAAGAATTTAGAATCCCAGCCAAGAGAAGACTGGATGGCAGCAAATACCTCCTGAACAGAGGTGACAGTCTATGCCATGGCTCCAGAAGGCAAGTGATAAGGAGCTCACTCCAAAGGACAATTAATTGGAAAACCTAAAAAGCCAGATGTTTTATCCAATCTAAATATTTAAATACAAGATTCATATCTCACTCTTAATACACTGATATTAGCTAAATTTGAAAAAATGTTTAAGGGAAAAATACGCTTATATATTTCAGAAAATAAAATGAATATTTCATGAGAATGACAGCAGTGAATTTACAGAATATTCAAAATTTAAAAATTACCTCTTCATATTCATAATCCTCTTCAGATGCTTCAGTTATAGTGACCTCTGAATATCTTGTCAAGTTTTAATCTCAGTAAGTATGAAATAAAATTATTGTATCAAAATTTTAGTTGATCTTAAAATATGGTATTGGATTCAATTATCTCACTAGAACTTGGTAAATACATGTAATTTTATTTGCTTAAATTTTGCCCCCAATATGGCCTATGAATCTAGATACTTAAAATTAATTTTTTTTGAGAGAAAGAAATTCTCACTCTATCACCCTACTTAGAACACCATGGCATCTACCCAGCCCACATAAACTTCAAACTCTTAAACTCAAGTGACCCTCCTGCCTCAGCCTCCTGAGTAGCTGGGACCACAGGAACTTGCCAAAAAGCCCCACAATTTTTTCTATTTTTTAGTAGAGATGGGGTCTTCCTCTTATTCAGGGTGGTCTCCAACTCCTGAACTCCGGTGATCCACCCATCTCAGCCTCCCAGAGTACTAGGATTACAGGAGTGAGCCACCACACCCAGTCTAAAATACAAAATTTTAGCGAGTATTTTAATTATTATTTTTCACAACCCAAATGCATGAAAAATGACATTTCTTTTCTCTTTGACTATTAGCCATCTAATGATTTCCACCTTGATTCCAACAAGACTCACACAAATATACATAGTGTCACAAGGCAACATAAATTAGAGACAAAAGAGTAAACGGCACATTGTGTATATGCATGTGTTAATTGGACATGGACAAATACACAATCGCATTTCAAAGTGACTCTGTAGTTTATAAATATGTATAACATATAAACTATAACAATAAATGAATTGGTAAGTGGAGGAGAGAAGGAAAACAGTAGAAATAAGATAAAGGTAAAGATGTAGTAAATGCCATAGGTCTCATGAGCTTTACCGTTTGGTCAGCAATCTTGCCAGAGTAGAAAAGGCAATTCATCAAGAATCATCTGAGAGATGAACCCTTTCCTGTGGTTCTACTTTACTGAGCAACTTTCTTATTTTGACTTTTAATCTCTTAAGTAATACTGCTCTCCAGCAAACACAGATACTATTAAGCTGGTGACAATTCACATACAAACTTATTTTCCACTGCATTCTGGCTTAAAATCAGTTTCTTAATGCCAAGCTGACTCTGAGCGCTAACAAAACTCACTTGCCCCTACCTGTTCAACAGTCCTTCAAATAACACCACTGATTCCAGTTAATTCATTTTTTTTCTACACCGTAGTCCCCTCACATCTGCTTCTTGTCTATCTGTCTGCTTGACCTTGACTTGACAATACTGTGCCTGGGTTTCTAGTTTGCTTTTGCCCAAGGGACTGTCTGTGGCTCCCTTGCCTCCCTGCTCTGAAGCCACAGCCCAAAGCACTATCCATTTCCAGGCCAAGGTTTGTAGTCAAGACCCAACCTAGACACAGACTGCAAATCTCTACTTGCTCTGGAAGGAATTTAGTGGCACTTTTGAGTTTGCGTAGTATGAATCAATTCCCTGGTACTTGGTCACCATGGGTGAACTAACTGGTAGTTTCTGCACTAGTAAAATCTGTACCAGATCCTGACATTGTAGATCCTATCAGAAAATTGGCCAATGTAACACCCATACTAAAACTGCCAGGGAGCCCCAAACCCAATGCCATACTACAGAAGACACAATGGCCAGAAGCCTTGAGAAGTATTCTGGCTAGGTATCACAGAGCAGAGCGTGAAGTGACAGTTGGTATGAGGAGGTGACAAACAACACTCTGCACACGGTCCAGAGCCAGAAGCCAAAGAACAATTTTCAGATCTGAGCAGCACACAAGGCTCCTCACACGCTGGTCTGTTCTGCTGCTGCATTTGTAGGTAGTGATCAGTGCCAGCAGCAACTGCATCATTATAAAGAACTGGACTGAGATGCATAGCTACTTATATTTGTACATGATTTCCCAAAGCTACTATAGATAGAAATCACTTTATAATATTTACCATCACTGCAAAACCAATGTATACAATCTAAAATCAGGCCTGGATCCTCCATGATCAACATTTTACTTATTAAACTGAAATAAAAGGACTATAAATAGCAAACATCATAGTCATGTTCCTTTTCTTAAGAATGCTAGTTTACGTAAAGTAAGTTAACCGAATAATATAAACCAATGATGGCAAGTGACAAGCATGCCTGTGGTCACTTGCCCCATTGCTGTTTGCTCCCTGCACTCAATACCACTGAGTTTTGATGAGGTCTCAGAGTTCTCTTTAATACCACATACTAGGGAGCTGGTAGAAAAGTGGAAAATTATTGGTCACCCCAGTCCTAAATAGCTATTGCAGATCTTCTGCCTCAGAAACTAGAAAATAACTCTTTTTTCAGCATATAAGGCTCATAGTTCTCATGGTGGGTGGTGGTGTATTTCTAGCTTCTAAGCCAGGAGATTCAAAAATATGGGTTCCACATATTACACTTCTACCTGAAAATGTAAAGGCTAAATAAAGGTCAAGATATTTGTTGTACTCCTTAGGCCACAGCCGCAGCACCGGCAGCACCTGGGAGCTAGTTAGTAATGCAGATTTTCAGCCCTCTCCCAGACTGAATTAGAATTTTCATTTAAAGATCCACAGACAATTCATATGCACATTAAAGTCTGCCAACACTGGAGGACACAAAACACATTTTTGTTTTTCCCTTCAAATAACCTATGACTTTCATACATGTAAAATCCAACACTCTGGCGTTACTAACAAGGCTCTTGGTCTAGATTCTATATTCAGATTGTCTACCCTTGAGATTTAAATATATGTAGGATACATATATTCTAATATTTAAGCACCATGGACAATTTAAGTTTTGCAATGATAAGAAACATATTGAGTATATAATTAAAAATTAAGGACTTTAAAAATGTTTTTTCACTTAATACTATAAATATTTCAGAGAAGTATCACTTTATAATGAACAAAAAAGTCTAAGACATTTATCTAAGGGAATAATTATATTTTAAAAAGATAAAAAGAAATCTATGCATAATATTTATAATTCTTTTCACTTACTAAACTATTTAATTTTGCAAAAAACCAAAATGTTAAAAATACACAACAAAATAATAAAAAGCCAAATGACAAACTTTAATTTTAATTAAAGGCATCAAAAAACATTACATTGCAGTTAAAGACTGGAAAGATAAAGTACTTAAAAAGACATCATGCATCTCAGATGCACCATTGACCTAGTGTTATTTTTGTATTTCAGATTCCAGAATCCTTGATTTTGCAGCTTCAAACAGTTGACTTTGGGACTGCATCCAGAGCTGAGGAGTTTGGAAGGACTAGCTTAAACTTACTTAACTCTCAGAAAGAGCTGCTGGAGGCAGGAAACCTTTTCAGTGGCCAGAAAACTTAAAGCCACTATCTAAAGAAGCCAAATTCGCAATATTAGAATGCCTAGAAATTTGTAATAATTAAAAGTTAATTAGGGGAGCAGTGACTCCAGTGAAGGGAGGTAGGTAACAAAAACAATACACTTTCCCAGGGTTCACATATTCTATTACTCTTCCTTGAACAAAGTCTTCTTTTAGATAAATAACAACAAAACCAATTAACCTCTAGCTTCCTCAGTACAAATTCATCCTAACTGCATCTTCCAATTGGAATAGGGTACTGCCAAACATCCACTGCCATACATTAATAAATAGTCTCTACTCTGTAATACAATTGGGAACCGTACCCAAAGTGGCTTGATTTCTAAAAGAAAATTCATTCACAAAAGACAATCAACTTTCTTTCCAAATTCTAAAGATAACTGCTTGGCCTTTTAATTATTACATAGTTAAAATCTAGCCTTATCTTTTATATTGTTGCAAATACTTTTTTTTTTTTTTTTAGGAATGATAGAGTGATTGTTTATTAGAAGATAGGAAAGCTTCCAACACAATGGATGGGGTCCCTAAAGGGTTGCCTGCAAATATTTTTCTAATGAAGAGTTCTACAGAGTACTCATGTAGAGTTACTCTTTGTAACTAAGTTTCTTAAATTTCTGCTGATAGCTAAGAACTATGTTGCTGTGTATGTCTGTATCTTCCTTGTGGAAGTTTAAAATATATAAAGCAATCATACTGCAAAGTTCTCAGAAGAGAAATAGGTGGTACTGTTACAGCTAAGGTATGACAAGGAAAGGGTGTTGCAGGGATAAGAATTCCTTTTCCCTAAGAACAGTATCTAAATTGTTATAAAAAGACATGTGGCCTTTATTAATGACACATTTGCCCCAAGGTGGATCCTGGCTTGTTCTGGTTTAGACCACATTAGTCCAACCATGTTCTTTATGTTTAAATGTTCAAGAGCAGAAAAGTGGATGATTTCCTGGAAAATTCAAGTCAACCTCTTTTAAAGGATTGCTTAGTATTGATAATTCATTGTCTAGTGTACTAGGAGCATCTGTTCAGTTATAAATAAGGGAAGTCCAGGGCCAAATGCAGATTAGAAGTGATTAAGTATACGTGCAAAGCAGAGGACATCAGATTTCTGATTCATTTGTGCATATAATTTTTATTTATCCCTCGCAGTAGCTCAATTAAATTACCTAAAAGCTAAAGACGTTAAACCAAAGAAAGTCTCACTTCAGCAACTATCATAATTGCCTTTAGAAACAATGTCAAATAACATGATACAGGCAACTCTTAATTATGCATGTGAGAAAAGCCTAAGGATATAAGAATAATTGGCATTCACAAGTAATCCTCAAACTTCATTTTAACTAACAGTTAAAGACTCTTCCATGACTAAATCTCTTCCCTTAATACTGAATATTGCAAAATAGACTGGTCAACTGTTTAACTTTGCCATCCTCTGACTACCCTTTGGTTGAAACACAAATAGTAGAGACTTAATCAAAGAGAGACAGAAAAAAATCAAAAGGTCAGATAGTTCACAAACTGGACGATAAAATTCTAAAAAATTAGACTTATCTTTGTAAATGTCATTCATTATTCATAAGTCTTCCTAAGACAGATTTGCAAACTGCTACCTGTTCATAGCTGTGACTCAGTCATCTCCCTGCAAATTAAGTAAACCCAATTTCCATTGCTAAAAGTTACATATGTTGGAATCCTACCATTTATTTCACAAAGATGTTTGCAAAAAGCTTCCTCATTGTATTATTCTCATGTTAACAAACTATGTAATTATACAAATTATTTTTATAAGAAAAATTACAAAATGACTGGTTACCATTCACTAGTAAGGACACTGGATAACTTCGTACTTATGATAGCTCAGAAAGAATTATTCCAATCAATTTTTCAATTTAAAAAGGAATATTACAGGCCAGGTGCCATAACTCACACCTGTAATCCTAGCACTCTGGGAAATTGAGGTGTGTGCATTGCTGGTCTGAGCCAGAGTGGGACCCCTCTTTAATAATAGCAGAGCATTGTGGTGGGAGCCTGTAGTCCCAGCTACTTGGGAAGTCAGGGCAAGGCAAGACAATCACTTAAGCCCAAGAGTTTGAGGATGCTGTGAGGTGTGAATGCCACAGCACTCTACTGAGGGTGACAAAGTGAGACTCTGTCTCAAAAAAAAAAAAAAAAATTAAAAGTAATATTCCTGGGGAAAAAGTAGCCTGTTACAGCTATAAAAACAGAAGATAAAGCTTCTTTTTTTTTTTTTTTTTTTTGGAGTTTTTGACTGGGTCTGGGTTTTGAACCTGCCACCTCCAGCATATGGGGCGGGTGCCCTACTCCTTTGAGCCACAAGTGCCACCCAATAAAGCCTCATTTCTGACACAAATATACCCAGGTATTTCATTCAAAGCTATTTCAATCCACTGAAATTTATATTTCTACAAGATCATTTTTGCAGCCAATAAAATTCTACATATTTTATTTAATATTTTAACTAAAGTCACCAAAGCTCTCTGTAACATGGATGTGTACCGACCCTGAGTTAGGACCAGTTAAATGGCTTGTCAAAGTTCACAAAATGAATCATTTCTGGATCTCTGAAATCTCAAATTAAAGTTAGAGGTATGATAGCTGGACAAAAAAGTAAGACAAGGCAGACTGGAGTTTCCTTGCTACCATTAAGAATAAAACAGATAACCATCTCTCTCTTACCTGCCTGCAGAAAGGAGTTCGATGTATTTTTCTCAAGAACCCTCCCCATCTGTCCAGTAAGATCAATCTATGTACCTACAGGAGGAGCCTTACACAAGAAAACAGTGAACCAAATTAGCCATATATGGTTAATTTTTCTGAGACTCCCACTAATAATTGCTCACCAGTTTATTTTCTAACATGTCTGAACATTGTCAATTTATTAGATCATTTAGTTGCTCAATAAAAAAGAGCAATTGTTGTTATTATTAAATAATCAAAATCAAATCTATCCAGGAAGGTGATCCAAAAATTTAAGCAATGGACAATCTGCCATTCTACATGGCATCAGGAGTTGCGTATTCTGAGTTTGAGCTCCTCGAGGTCCAATGGCAGCGGCTTCTACCTACTCTTCCAAGCTTACCCTAAGAAATTTATGCAAAAGCGTGAGTGCTTATTAGGATAAACCTGTTCACTGAAAGGAGGGCTGCATCAGTTTGTTGTGTCTCCTCACATAAAAAGCAACATTCCACTCAGAATTTACTGAGTGGTTACTAAGTGTGAGGCCCTGCAAGGTCTCCCAACTCTTCCAACAGGCACCGGGCACCCTACACTTGTCAAAAGCGAGAAATTCATTAAGCAGCTATGGGGGGTGGGGGGCGGGGGCCCAGAGTGGCAAAGACACCACCTTGAGGACCCACAGCCGTGCCCCCGGCCCGGTGGCCCTAAGCCTCCTACAGCGCCCCCAGCGGTGGGTAAGCCCTGGCCTCCGCCAGCAACACCGGTCACCGCTGCAGCGCTGCAGGCCGCGCCTCCACGGGAAGGATACGCTCCAGGTAGTAGGCGCCCTCGGAGGCCGCCGAGTCCGCCGCGTCCCCGGCTGCCGTCAAACCTCCGGCCGCCCCCAGACCCCCGCCAGTCGTCAGACCCCCGCCTGGCGTCACACTCCTGGCCGCCAAACCCCCGCCTGGCGTCAAACTCCCGCCCGCCGTCGAACTCCCTGCCAGGGCTTCTTCCAGAACCCGCAGGGCCACGGTGGCTATCCCTTGCTGAGCAGCCATTTGTGGCGCTGCAGGCTCAGGCCCCAGCCCGGCCCCGGCCCCAGCCCCGGGCAGCCCCACTGCAGTCCCTAAGGGCAACCGCGACGGCGTCTCCCGACGGCCCCCCGCAGCTCTCGCGAGATCTCTGCTCCCTCACGCGCCCTCCCACCCGAGACCAGTCCCGGGCGCGAAAGGGCTTCCTCGAGTCCTGCGCGCGGGTGACCGGCCCGCTTCCGCGGTTACCCTGACAACGTTGTTGCCTGGTTACCATGAGAGCTTGAGACGCAGCTCCTGGAAAGCGCGAGATGCTTGGATTACAGCTTTTTAGGGAGGCAGCTTGGTTTCCTTTCACTTTGACCCTAGCATTTCTTTCTCTCTTGGTTTCCTTCCCTCAATTGCCTTTCTCTTTGTTCTCACGGGCCTATTGTTAGGCCTTGAATTTTAGATGTTTGTAGAGCCCCAAGCGTGAGTTCCCAGGGAAAACTCCTAGAAAAGAGGAATATGTTCAGTGCCTGGAGGAAAAATCAAAAGCGGAGTGGGGGTGGGGTATCTCGAAATCGTAAAAGAGAGACTGACCCAGGGAAGCTCTGGAGTTGTTGCCTTAGTCAATGTCTTAATTTTGATTTTACTGTATTTATTTGGACATCTTTGACTTTGGTTTCGTACACTGGGACTTGAATAGTATTTGTAACATTGATTTTTGCCAAAGTGAAGCCACTGTCATGAAAATTATGAGCCACACATGGCCCTAACATAACGTGTAGATATTTGCCTAATTGTGTGTCCTGTTGCCTTGACAGGATCTTTCTCAGATTTATGTTATTTATGTATCAGAAGCATCATCAAAGACCTTTTTCTTGAAAATTCTTTTTTCTGCATTTCTCGATGAAAACTGCATACTGAACAATGACTCTATAAACACTTATTTATTACCAAAAAGTAGTGGTGACTTCCTAAAGAGGTCCTTGAAAGCCTGTTAGAGCGAGAGAGGTGTCATTCAGAGCCTGGTTCCTCTCCTTACTAGCTATGAACCCTTGAGCAAACTATTTAATGCCTCTAGACCTCAGTTTCCTCATTTGTAAATAAGGATATTATTACTTACCTCAAAGGGTTGCAAGATGTAAAATGACAAAAAATGTTAAGAACTTACAAGGCACAGAGAAGACAATGAGAAATGTTAGGTGTTATGTTTGGAAAATATATTTGTTTGATTTTGTTTTGTTTTTTAAAATAAGCATCACAATTAGGCGTAATAATTGGAGAATTCATTCAGGGTATATGTTCTTTTACTAACTTACTTTTTGTCCTTGACTTTTCACATTAAACATACCCTAAGTACTCATTACATGCAAGGGACAATTAGAGGAGGCTGAAAATGAAGAAGAATTCTGCAATTGGGGAATTCATGGCTTTTAAAGAAAGTCTGCTCTTTCTTTTAGGAGACATTACTTCATCCTTGGAGGTTGTAGACTGTAAACCCAGGACTAAGAAATGACCTGGGTCCTTAGATTTTTGGCATACTCAGTAAGATGTGTGAGCGTGAGAGAAACAAGGAGGAGCATATCTTAGAACAATCAATGTTTACTTTTGACTTTTGTATTTGTTTTTTGCAATGGCTCTTTTTTTTTTTTAATTTTTAGATGAAGTATGTCATCTTCTGTAGACAGATTTGTCCCCTGGCTCTTCTGTATGACCTTAATTGATTGAGTTCTCTGACCTTAGTTTCCTGCTCTCTAAACCAGAGATTTTAATACCTATCTTACTAAAATTAAATAGTAAATAAGAGTAAACATGGAAAAAGTGCTTATCGTGAGGTCTAGTATATCAGATGTTGTCAGTAAGTATTTGTAAATAAAATGTGTTTAAAATATTGAGTGATTATGCTAAACCTAAATTGAATTTTATATGTGTAAAAATCTTCAATATATATATCTTCAATATATCATTTTTAAGATATAATTTAAATATTTTTTAAATATTCAGCATGTTAAGAAGGAAAAGATTTTAAGATTCCTTAAAAAAATGAATAAGTTATGGCCAGTATTCACTGCTTAAGGTAAGGACGAGGGAAAGATTCTTGTCGAAAGAGCTCAAAAGAAATCTTATAACTCAAAGAAGTATCATTAACTATGCTCCACAAAAAAAATTTTTTTGAGTCTAATTATATAAAGTTTCCAAAATTTTAATTCAGAGTTACCAATTTGATTATATTCGTTTCATGAATTTCAAATTTAAGAAGTCACCCAAGATATTTGTTGCTCAGCTATAATTTGAAAAACATTTCACAGGAACCTATGCTCCAAGGCTTTTAAAAATTCAAATTGGAAACAATTTTACCATTTTATTTTATAAAGCTTTTGGTCTCTACAATGAATGAGCAATATTCTAAAAAGCAATGAAATAAAAGCAAAAAGAATCTTAACAAGTATAACCAGACCAGTAATTGCCTTCAAATAAAAACAGAATACAACCTTTCATAGGATTTACTAATATCTTAAAAATAGTGTGACTTTGCAAGGGATGAGTTTGAAAATAAACATGTTACATTAGAATTTGTATTCTGTTAATTGCTGGTTTAATTAAAAAGAGATGTAGAAGCCTTAATGATGTGAAAACACAAAAACTTCAGATCATGGTGGTTTGAGTTACAGTGCATTTCTATCCTATATTATTTCCTTTTTAATATATTTTATAGATTTCCTTTGGGGGGAAAAAAGAAATTACTTTAACATTTTTATGAATGAATAGCAAACTGTCTACTTTCCCTTTACACGTGTTCCTCAAAGAGGTATATAAGGAAAATTAATGAGGCCAGTAAAATGATGCAACAACCACAAAGGACAACACATTTTTTCTGCCCCCAGCCTAATTGCTCCATTTGTATAAAGGTAAAATTATTTTTAAAAGCAACGCTGAATTGTATCTGACAATGGATATATATTCTTTGCATTTCTACCTTCAAAGCAGAAAATAATCACATGCAAAGATATAGTAAAGTACTATTCAATTTTAAGAAGTTCAGAGCATTCATTTGCTACAGATAGAGCTCAAGCCATTTACTGGTGCATCTTTTTATAAAAGTAGCTATCTTGTTTTCTCACAAAACTTCACAGTAAGTGGTAGCCAGTTTTAGAATTTCTGAATTCATAAAAGTAGTGGTAATTGACTGTGGTAGAAAATTATCATTTCAACCATACAGCATATAGTTTTTCTTTTTCACTAACAACCATTTGAAAATCCATTTTTGCAGTGTTCTGAGCCAATGAGGTTTAAACAAGGTCAAACCTCGGAAGAATATATGGCCCAGTTTTAACCCAAAAAGAACATCTCATTTCTCTTGGCTACGGTGATCAGTTCTGTAGTCAGCATGTGTCCTAAAAGATGCCAGAAAGATTTAGTAAGAATTCATTGGGAATTTTAAAGTAGAAAAGAGACTTTTATTCTGTCCCTTGGGACTTAAGATCTGGACTTGTTACTGTTGCCTTACCAGTATAAAGAAAATTTCTAATTAAGAATTTGAAGTAGTGAGAGGTATGGTCCAGTTTTCAATCTTTAACATGTACCTACCTATTTCTCTGAACACCATTTATTAAATAGAGATTTGTTTCCCCAGTGTATCCTTTTGCTTGCTTTATCAAAGATCAGATGATGATATGAGGCTGGTTTTATCTCTAGGTTTTCTATTCTGTTCCATAAATCTATGTCTCTATTCTTATGGCAGTACCATGCTGTTTTGATCACTGTAGACTTGTAGTGTAATGTGAGATCTGGTTTCTTAGAACTGCATTGGCTATTTGTGTTAATCGGTATGTAATGATGTTGGTGTTTTAATGGGAACTGCATTAAATGTGTCGATCTCTTGGGTGGTATAGACATTTTAACAATGTTGATTCTTCCCAGCGATGAGCATGATATTTTCTCTCATTTGTTAACTTCTTCTGCTATTTCTTAACTCAGGGTTTTATAGTTCTCTTTGTAAAATCCTTCACATCCTTTGTTAGGTATATTCCACGTTATTTGATTTTCTCTGAAGCTGTGATTTTCTCTCAATACTGTGAACGTATTGTGTCTTTGGTTCTCAGTTTCACTGGTACGAAGGCTACTGATCAGTGGATATTGATTTTATATCCTGAGATGTTACTGTATTTCTTGATTACTTCCCAGCATCTTGTGGTTGAGTCCCTGGAGTTTCCTAAGTATAAGATCATATGATGCAGAAAAGAATGAAAGTTTGACCTCCTCTGTCCACATTTGTATACCATTGATATCCTTGCTTGATATCTCTTGCTTGATTACATTGGCTAGGCCTTCCAGCACTACGCTGAATAGTAGTGGTGATAGTGGGGGTTGTTCCAGTTATAAGTGGAAATTCTTTCAGTTTTACTCCATTCAGTATGATATTGGCATGTATTTGTTGTAGATAGCGTCCATCACTTTAAGAAATGTCTCATCTACTCCTGTTTTCTTAAGTGTCCTTATGGGAAATGATGCAGAATGTGTCAAATGCCTTTTCAGCATCTGTGAAGGAGATCATGTGGTTTTTGGTTTTGTGTCTATTTATGTGGTAAATTACATTTATGGATTTTTGTATGGTGAACCAGCCTTGCATCCCTGGGATATCTAGACTCACACCTCTCACCACTTACAAAAATTAACTCATGCTGCATAAAGATTTAAATCTATGACACAAAACTAAAAAATCTCTAAAAGGAAATGTGGGAAAGGCTCTTAATGATATTGGGCTAGGGAACAAAGTTATGAAGAAGACCCCATTGGCAATAGCAGCAACACCAGAAATAAATAATTGGAAACTAATCAAGCTTAAAATCTTCTGCACAGCTAAGGACCCAATAAACAAGGCAAACAGGCAACCTTCAAAGTGTGAAAAGATGTTTGTATGTTACAAATCTGACAAAGGGCTAATGACCAGAATCTACAAAGAACTCAAGCAAATTAACAAGGACAAACTACCCAATTAATCACAGGTGTAAGAGACATGAACAAACCTTCTTCCAAAAAGA